TCGAGTTAGAACCGGGGGCACAGCCAACTGTACAGCGCCAGTTCAGACTGAGACAGCCCGAGCTCGACGAACTAAGGAAACAGTTAGATTATTTATTAGAGAAGCAGTTTATTCGACTAAGTTCGTCACCGTTCGCCGCACCGATACTGTTCACACCGAAAAAAGACGTAGGGTTTTGCATGTGCATCGATTACCGAGCGCTTAACAGGGTAACAGTCAAGTCGCGGTACCCCATTCCCCGCGCCGACGAACTGATCGACCAATTGCGAACAGCACGGGTGTTTTCGAAAATAGACTTACGGGGGGGTTACCATCAGATTCGGGTCGAACCATCGGACTGCGCCAAGACAGCATTTAGGACAAGGTACGGGTCGTTTGAGTACACGGTGATGCCTTTCGGGCTGACCAACGCGCCCGCAACATTTCAGATGACCATGAACGAGGTGTTTAGGCCACTCTTAGATAAATGCGTGATAGTTTACCTCGACGACATCCTCGTCTACCGTCGCGACAAGCAGCAGCACTTAGCGGATCTCGAAGCAGTATTTAAAGTTTTAGAGGAACATCGGTTACTCACCAAGGGCTCTAAGTGCGAGTTTTTTCGGGACAGACTAGAATTTTTTGGGGCACGTTATTTCGGAGGCTGGAGTTGAAATCGACCCTAAGAAGCTGGATACGGTAAAAGCGTGGCGTCCCCCGACGAACATCACGGAACTGCAGAGTTTTTTAGGGTTCGTTAATTATGTTCGTCGGTTCGTCCCCGACATGGCACACTTCACCGCCCCGCTGACGGATTTACTGCGAAAGGGGGTCGTTTTTCGGTGGGGGGAGAAAGAGCATGCTGCCTTCTTTGCCCTGAAAAATGTTCTCTGTTCTCCGCCCGTCCTGCGCATCGCCGACCCACACCGCCCATTCGAAGTAGTTACCGACGCAAGCGATATCGCCATCGGAGCCGTATAGCTACAGGATTTCGGCAATGGCCTACAACCTATCGCATACGAGTCACGAAAACTGCATCCGCCCGAGAAAAATTACACGATACACGACCGCGAAATGCTTGCGATCGTGCACGCGTTCAAAGTATGGCGCTCTTACTTGACTGGCGCGGACGTGACAGTACGGACAGACCATAAATCACTACAGTACCTTCGCGCACAGCCACACCTCAACCCACGACAGATTCGCTGGCTCGATTTCCTCGAGTCCAACTTTCACTACACGGTCACTTACAAAAAGGGAGCCTCGAACATCGCCGACGCACTGACCCGCCCCACTGCCCAGATCCACGCCCAGACAAGCCCGGTACTGACAGGCCTATTAACCCACGGGTACCAAACGGATCCATTCTTCACAGGAGGAAATTCGCAGCAGTTCGCAGCAGCAAAGGGAGTCTATTACGTAAAAACCGGGACTAACCACATTTGGGTGCCTGGGTATACACTGCTACAAGAATTACTGTTACAGGAGGCACACGACGGAGCTACCTCGGGGCATTTCGGAATAGAAAAAACACGGCAGCAGCTCCAGCGGTATTATTACTAGCCCGAAATGTTGACCGACGTACAACGACATGTGGCATCGTGTCCCACTTGTCAGCTCATGAAATCATCACGACAGCGGCCGGCGGGACAGTTGCAGCCGATACCACCCCCAGAGCATGCTTGGCAGCAGGTGACGATGGACTTCGTCACGGGGTTACTAGCCGGGGCGAGTGGGAACGACGCGATCCTTGTCGTCGTCGATCGACAGATGAAAATGGCACATTTCGCAGCCTGCAAAAAATCAATCACAGCCGAAGAAACAGCACTTTCGTAATGAGGACCTCCTTAAAGGGGGGGGGGGGGGTAGTGTAAGGAAAATCTCTGTTTCCTTACTTCGCATCCCTGCTCAACGCGTATATCACTGTAGCACCACAGTCAGCACCGTTACCACTCGCAATCCTCGCATCGACAATCCGCCCGCCACCTTCGCACGTCGCATCCCGACCTCACGGCTCGGCGGGTAACCTGCGCTCCGGGCAGGGTTCTCGCTAGGTTTTGGGGCTGTCTGACAGTACCCTGAAAAAATTTTCCCCCGTCTTCTGGTCGGACGACGAAACTTCCGTGGTCTGCCTTATAAGCTGAAATAATATTTCTAGTCTGATAAATAAGACGAAATTTTTTTTCCTGTTAAAAGTCAACCTACTGTGGCTGTGGCACAACGGGACAACGCGTTGCCGTGGCTGTGGCTGGCGTCGGCGCCGACAGCCAGCCACACGACAAACTCCTGGCAGCGAGGCTGCCATAATGAATGCGCGCATTCATTACGCGCATTCATTACATGACACGCGTAATGAATGCGCGTGCGCATTCAGGGCAACAAATGGCTGTACCTGTGGTCCTATCCTCTGGTCCACTGGGCATATGGCCTAGTGGGTCAAGATGTCGGTTTCAGACGAAACCGAACTCGATATCTGTGTTCTCAGATGAAGAATTCTACACGTCTGGAAAAATCATACGAACCTAAAAGTCAAATCTTACTGATCAGATGAGAACAAACACAAAATCTTAGGATTAAGATGAATACTAAAAATCAAGTCTTAAACTCAGACCATCAGACCAAATTGGTCTGATAACGAGAACCCTGGCTCCGGGCCTCCGCTTCGACACTTTTCCCAACCTCAGTCCCAGGCCCGTCGCGCGACAACCACAGTCCATTACCGTTACCACTGTAGTTTCGCTATACCGTATTCTCCCGAACATAACACCCTAGGGTATAGCTAAAAATACAGGGAAAAAATGGGGGGGGTCTCCTCATAGGAAAAAAATACATAATACTTCGGTCTTTACATATGGCATATTTTAGTGTTAGTGTTTTTTTTAATTAGTCAATGTGGGTGTTTTGCTGGTCGTTTTAGCATCACTGCCTGAGGCGCGAATGTCAGTTTCGGCCTCGAACTTCATCGCCCTCACGAAAATGCCATGTGACACCTCTCTTGCCACTTGCAACGGAAGATTCACCTGCACGTGGCAACAGAGAAATAGTGGGAGGGGGCAAATCTCGGCAGATTGCCTTTGAATGTACCGCGGAATTTCATTGAGGGAGAAATTCACACGATATTCTTCCGTATTGCAGCTACTTGTTAACGACTATAATAATGAATCCGTAAGAAAAGGGGGGTGTTATAGAAAATCAGCCAAAAAGGGGGGTATAGTAGAAACGAGGTCTATCATAACACCCACCCCGCACAAGCTACCCGGGGGTGTACAATTATGGGGGGGTGTTTTGTCCGGGAGTATACGGTATATTCTTCGTTCATGCCTTCGCTCATTGTATTCTTGCTTCTTTAGTGCAATTCTCGTCCGTTCACTCCATTGCACTCGTAATATCGAGTTCAGCCAAACCAGCTGTTTATGAATTCAGTGATTACTATCAACCAAATAAATACATGCACTTTTTTTCTCTCGCAAACCCACAATGCCTAAGGTCCGTAATCCGAGTGTACAGCTCAGCACGTATCTACAAAAAGGCGTGGAGAGGACCTTGGGCCCTACACACCCCTCATGCAGCCCACCCCTCAACCCCTCCTAGCATCATCCTCCCTACAGCAACTCATATCATGTCATGTGTGGCCATAGAGCCTGCCAGGCCCCAAAAAAGGATAGCACAGCACTGCTATCGCATGCTAGCCATGTAGCAAAGGCATCCTAAGCTCACAGAGCTGGTGGTGACCTCAGCAACATTGATAAAACCACGATAGATAGAAGCAGGTCGACACTCACGCCAGGTATCGACCTGTTAACTGTCATCCCTCCACGTGTCAGCGTGTCAGCTGTCCATGTGTCATCCTGCCAAACCTCCAGGTGTCAAGCTCTCATAGTTATAGGAGTCAGCAGCATGTCATCTCTTAGGCCACATGGTAACCCCAGTTCCCTCCATACTCTCTCCTATCTCCCCCCAAACCCTCTTTCCCAAGCCTCCAACACCCTCCCCAACAACAGCGACAGCAGCAGAAGAGGGGGCCGCAGCAAGGAAGGCAGCAGCAGGCACACCACCAGACGAATCCGGACCGTTGATATCAGCAACGGCCGCACCATAGCTCATATCCGCCACTGCTGCACTGTAACTGCTCTCAGGAACCCTCCCGCTCGCACTCCCACTCGCATTCCCGCTCCCACTCCCACTCCCACCCGCACTTGCACTGCCGCTCGCGCCAAAACTCCCAATGCTGATGCCGTTGCTGTGGCTCATAAATACCCTCTCCTGACCGCGGCTGCTCAGGGCAAGCGGGAGCGGACCCGAGGGGGGAGCAGTGGCAATGGAAGGGGCAGTGGCGACGGCAGGGCAGGGTGCGATAGGGAAGAACTGCATCGTTCGGTCAAGGTTGCTGCCCCCTTGAGCTCGCGCCGGTGCTGCTGCCATCATCCCTGGAACCTGCACTCCTGTCATTCCCGCCACTCCTGCCACGCCCTGTGTGTGCATCACTGGCAGGTGCACGGGGAAGGGCGTGCTGCTGCCTTGGCCCCTCCCTGCATGGACGGCGGGAGTCATGACTGGTGCGCGAGGCAAGTGCTGCTGCAGCATGGTGGGAGGAGCGGGGGAGGGAGGAGCAGCAGGTGGAGGGGGAGTGGGGGGGAGGGCGGGCTGGCGGACAAACTGGCCTCTGAAGCGCGGCCGCTGCTCTGCCAGTCGCTTGCGGCTCTGGTAGCGCACCTGCAGATGGTGACGCAAGAAAGAAGAAAATGACTTTTTGAGGAAAATGAATTGAGGAAAATGACGCAAAGTTGCTTGCGACTCTGGTAGCACACCTGCACATGATGACGCATGCAAGAGGGGAAAGAGGGAAAGCGGGGCAGGTAGGGAGAATAGGAGGAAGGGAGGAGGGGGAGGGGAGGGGAGTGGTGCAATGGTTGAAGGCACAAGTTTGAGGATGGCAGATGGTGGCGAAGGTTTGGTGGGTAAGTGGAGAAAAGCAGGGGATGCTTCTAGGAAAAAACCTGCCTGGGCTGGCAACGAATGGCTCAAGAATACGGACGCACCTTCTTCTCGAAGTTCCTCTCTTTGCGCTTCAGCCGGAACTTATTAAGTGCCGCCTCTCGCACCGCCTGCCGACTCATCACCCTGCCACTGCCCTCCGCCCCGTCTGCACTGCCAGCCCCTTCCCCACCTCTTGCTCCCTCTGCACTGTATGCACCTTCCACCCCTTCCGCCCCTCGCGCTGCTTGCTCCCCTCCCCCATCAGCCCCTTCTACCGCCTCTCCTCCGCGACCTTCAACAGCAGCAGCAGCGGCGGCAACAGCAGCGGCAGCAGTAGGTGCGATGGCGGGAGGTGCAGGGAAAGGCGTGGTGGCGGGTGCAGAGAGAGAGGCAGATAGAGACAGCAGCCCTGCTGCACCCTCCTCCTGCCCCGCCTCCTCCCTCCCACCTTCCCCACGCTCCTCGCCACCATCCTCCACTTCCCTCTCATCCTCTGTCTCCTCCCCATCCTCCTCCTGCCGCTTCTCCTCAAAACCCTCTCTCATGTGCACATCCGCACCCTCTCGCCCCTCCTCCTCCTCCTCTTCCGCTTGGCCTTGTTGTTGCTGTTGCGCCTGTATCCGCTGCACCTCTCCAGCTGCCCCTATCCCCTCAGTGAGCCACTCGCGTCTCTTGCTGCTCTTGCCTCCCCCCTCTCGTCCACCCATCCCTGCCATGTCCTCACCCGCTGCCTCCTCCTCTCTGCCTCGTTTCCGTCCCACCACACCCACAGCACCACCCACGGCACCACCAACACCACCCGCACACGCAGCACCACCGTCCTCTCGCCCAACACTGCCCTCCGCCCCCTCTGCCTCGCCACCGCTTCCCTCTCCTCTCAAATCCCTCGCTGCCACATCTAACGCCTCTGTTGCTTCTGACGCACTCCCCCTCCCTCTCTCCCTCATCCCATCCAACCCCCTTTGAGCCTCCCCGTTAGCACCAGCGCCTGCAGCAGCTGTGGCAGAGGCGGGAACGGTACCATCCCTGTTCCTCTCTCCGCCATCCCTGCCCCCCTCTCCGCCATCTCCGCCCATGGCATTCCCCTCGCGCCTCACTGACTGCCCCCCTGACTGCCGCCTCCCCTCCTCCGCCCCCCCGCCTCCCATCCCCATTGCCTGCCCCCCAGTCCCCCCTTCCCCTCCGCTACCCTCCCCCCCACTCCCCTCTCCCCCACCACTTCCCCTCCCCGAACCCCCTCCGTTTCCACTCCCCCCACCATCCCCCCCACTGCCTTCCCCTCCCCTGCCCCCTGTTCCGCCTTCTCCTCCACTCCCCATCCCCTCAATACCATTCCCCGCGCCAGTACCTCCCTCCCCGCCACTGCCCCCTTCACCGTTCCCCCGTTGTGGGGACTGGAAGCGTCCGCCCGCGCCTGTCATGCCCGCAGTGTCATGCGCCTGGTCCTTGGACCCCACCGCACTGCCATTGGCGCAAGACAACAGCGCCTGTATCCCCCCACCGCCCCCCGCGCCTCCCCCCGTTCTGCTCCACTCATGCGCCCCATTCGCGCTTGCATCCCCGCGCTTACTCCCCCCACTGCCTCCGCTGCCCCCGCTTCCCCTCCCGCCTCCGCTGCCTCCCCCACTCCCCTGTCCGCTTCCCCCTCCACCCGATCCTTGCCCGCTGCCACTCCGCCCGCCACTCCCTGCGCGCGCGCTCCCCGCCATGTCTCTCCCCGTGTCCCCACTCTCATTATACTCCGAGCTTCCATTCCCATCCCCATTGCCGTTCCCGCCACTGCTGCTGCTGTTGTTAACCCCTTCGCGCGCGTTCCTTCCCCCTCCGCCGCCGCCGCAGCCACCACCGCCGCCGCCACCGCCGCCCTTCGCATACACGTTGCTGCTCCCGTCGTTCCCAACCTCGCCTCGAGGCACGGCAGCCGCAGCTGCGGCCGAGGCTCGGTGGTGCCCTGAAAGAGCAACCGGACCTGCGCCCGCTGCTGCTGCTGCGCCTGCTGCCCCTGCTACTGCAGCAGCAGCATTGTGAGGGTTGGAACCTCCCCCCTCCGGACTGCCACTTGCGTTCGCATTCACCTTCGCATCCTCTGCAGCAGCTGCTGCTGCCGCATCAGCACCAGCAGCAGCGGCAGCGGCGGCGGCAGCAGCGGCGCCAGGGTTAGCAGGCGACATGACACTGACACTATGCTGCTGCTGCAAAGACGGGTGGGAGTGCCCGCGATGGTGGTGGCGGTGGTGGTGGTGCCGCTGGTCCCGGTGGTGGTGGTGGTGATGCTGCCTATGCCCTTGCTGCCCCTGCTGCCCCTGCTGCACCTGCTCCTGCAGCAGCGCCTTGGACTCTTCCACCCAGTGCAGAGCTTCTGTAGATGACACACGCACCTTGCCATGGCTCTCCTGCTGCACCGCTTTCACCGGCTGCCCTGTCGCCCTGGGCGACGGAGGAGTCTTGCTTTCCAGACGAGCAATCTCCGAGTCCTTCCCTTTCCCTCCTTCCGCCACTACCTGCTGCGCCTCCTTCCCTTCCCTGTCCTCTCGCCTATCCCGCATTCCCTCACCCGCCGCTGCACCATCCGAGTCCATTCTCCGCTCTTCCTCCTCCTTTCCTCTCCTCGCCCCTTCATCCTTATCGTCTCTTCTCCCTTCTCTCCTTGCGTCCTGCGGTCTCAAACCCGGGGAGGAACCGGCGACAGGGAGCGGCGGAGGGGGCGGCAGCAGGTGTTTCGCCAGGTGGTGGTGGGTCTGGTGGCGCCGCCGCGGCTGCTGTGCTGCCGGCAGCGGTGGGGAGTCTCCAGCTGCTTCTCTTGGTGCGGCTGCATCTGTGTTGTGTGTAGCCGCGGCAACGAAAGCTACGGTTGCGTTGGTTGCTGTGCCGTTTGCAGCTTCGGCCATTTCTGCGTTTGGAAGGGTGAGAGCACGAGGGCACAGCGTTTGGCCTTGTTGTTGTTGTGGCCGCTGCTCTTGTTTTTGCCGCTCTTTTCGCTCCTGCCGTTGCTTTTCGCCCTGCTCTAGCTTCTGCTCCTCCTGCATCTCCTGCTGCTCTTGCTGCTCCTGTTGCTGCTGCGCTCCTGGTTTCAACTCGTCTTGTTCCTCCCTTCGAGACCCACCCTGCCCTTGTGGCGAAACTTGCGGCAGGGTCGGGGGAACGCGAGGCTGGAGCGCGAAGTGCGGGGGCGGGTGCGGGTGGGGGTGCGCGAGCGCGTGGGGATGGGGGCGAGGGAGACCGAGTGGGGGAGTGCGGCTGTGCATGGAGACAGGAGAGAAACGGGTGGCACCGGGGAAGGGCGATGCTGGGAAGGAGGGTGCTTCTAGCAAGCGCGGCCGCCAATCAGGATGCTGCTGCGGCTGTTGCTGCTCTTGCTGCTGGAGCTGCTGAGACTGCAGCTGCTGCTGTGGCGGCTGTTGTTGCTGCTGCTGTCGTTGCTGTGACCCGACTGGCACCGGTGGTGGCGGCGGGAGTTGCAAAGGAGGCTGGCGAGGCTGCACTTGCATCTGCTGCTGCTGCCCTCTCGCCTCTACTTCCTGCTGCGCTTCTTGCATCTCCTGATCCTGTTGCTGCTGCTCTTGCTGCTGCCGTTCTTGTTGCTGCGGTTGTGTCAGCCGCTGAGCGCTGGGGGGAGGGGGAGGGCACGTCCACGGGGGAGGCACACCCGCCGCCACTGCCGCAGCTGCAGCCGCCGCCGCTGCGGCAGCAGCAGCAGCATAATAGAGCGGCGATTGCAGGTACAGCCCTGACGCTGCAAGACTGGGGTTGAACGGGCGTGCAAACAAACCCGCAGCTGCTGCTGCCGCTGTGGTTGCCGCAGTAGGAGCAGCAGTTGGAGCAACAGCAGAAGAGGCGAAGGGAACGGTAGGAACCACAGGGGATGAAGCTGCAGGAGAAGCAGCAACGGGTGCAGCAGGGGCAGTTGGAGCAACACGGACGGCAGCAGGGGCAACCGGAGCAGTAGGGGCAGCAGGGGCGGTTGGGGCGGCGGGGGCAAGAGGGAGACGAGTGACAGCCGAGGTGCTGCCATTGCGGTGCATGTGACCTCCCCCAGCTATACCTCCCGTCACTGACGCTGCTGTTGCCTCTGTCAACTCCCCACCTGCACCAGACCGATCCGTCCTCCCATTCCCCCCACTTCCGTTCTCACCACTGCCATTCCCCCCACTGCCATTTCCCCCACTCCCGTTGCCGCCGCTGCCATTCCCCCCACCACCGCTTCCGTTCCCCCCACTGCCTCCTCCACCACTACCCCCGTCCCCTCTGCTTCCGCCCCCACTCCCGCCTCCCCCACTTCCCCCTCCCCCGCTCCCTCCTCCCCCGCTTCCCCCACCTCCGCTTCCCCCTCCGCCGCTTCCCCCGCCCTCTCTCCCCCCAGGGCATCCCGACGTGCTGAGCAGCAGCCCCCCGCCCCGCGCATCCGCGGGGGAATGGGAGAGCGCGCCAGGCGTTCCGCTAGCAGCAGGAGGGGCGGCGCAAGACGGTGAAGAAGAAAAGGGAGTAATGGGGAGCGCCGGAGCTGACCCAGCCGCGCCAGCAGCAGCAGCAGCAGCAGCGGTTGCTGCAGTGAAGGGAGGCTCGACGCTTGTAGCGGCTGTAGCAGAAGGGACAGTGACAGTGCCAGTAGCAGCGCGAGCAGCAGCAGCGGCAGCTGCCGCGGCCGACACAGCGGCAGACGCGGTTGCACAGGTAGCGGCGGCGGCAGTAGGGAGAGCGCTGGTAGCGCGAGCGGTAGTGACGCCACTCACCCCTGCGAAAGTCGCTGCTGACGCGCCGGCTCCCATGTTCCCGTCTACCCCTCGCATCCCTGCAGCAGACGCACCAGCAGCGGTGGCATCTGCGCCCGCGCACACGCAGGCAGCATCGCCTTTCCCCGCGGCAGCAGCAGTGGTGGCAGTAGCAGCAACAGGGGGCGGCTTGCACGGCTTGCACAGCACCTGCTGCTGCGGTTGCCCCGCCACCACGTGACCCACGCGGACAGCAGCAGCGCCAGCGTCCATTGCGCCCAGCATGGGGGGAAACGCACGCGCGTCTTTCTGCACGAGGCCTCCCGTCACGGCCTCACAGAAGCCAACGACCCTGCCTGTTTGCACCCCTTTTCCCCCGTGCGCCCCAGGCGCCTTGGCGTGTGCCACGTGCGCCGCTTTCGCGCCCTTCCCATGCGCGCCAGCGGCAACCGCGCCTTGCGACGCTGTGAGAGCGGAGGAGACGTTGCCCGACGCCTGGTGCTGATGCTGCGCCGCCTGATGCTGCTGTGAGGCGGAAGCGTGGCGGTCAAGGGGGCGGGTGATAGGCGCATGCGGGGCGTGCAGTGGATGATCGCTGAGTGCGCTCGCCAGGGCGTGCGCGTGTGGCAGCGGGTCGCACGGCGGATGGTGCGCGAATGAGGGCGGCGGATGTGCGCCTGCGCGGTGCGTTGCTGCGCCCGCGGCGGCAGCTGCGGCGGCTGTGGCGGATGGCGCTGCATCTGACGGTGGTCCAGGTGGCAAGCTGTGATTGGTAGCTGGGATTGGGCTGGCCGTGTGATAGCTGGACAAGGCGAGAGAGAGGTGGAAGAAACGGACAGAGGAAAAGGATGGAGGGCAAAATCAGTGGAAGAGCGGACGATGTGGGTGAATGCAGAAAGCAAAACACTGAAGGAGAGGGGAAGCGAGGGAGGTGCACGAGAAAAGTAGTGGAAGGGGGAAGGTGCGGGAGAAGGGGAAGCTTACCGTGAGAAGGCGGAGACTTTCAGGGGATGCACTGGATGGTGCTCGCGCTGCCCTTGCCGCTGCCCTTGCCGCTGCCCTTGCTGATTCCCACTGCCCTTTCCCCCGTCGCCTCTCACCATCCTCTGTTCCTTCCCAGCCGTTCCGACACCTCCCGTCCCTGCTTCCTTCCCCTCGCCCCTCCGCCCCTCCTCGCCCCCTTCCACCTCCATACCCTCCTCCTCCCTTCCCTCTCCTCCTTCTCTAACACCCCTTTCCTCCTCGTCCCCCTCCCCCATTTCCACATCCTCCCCTGCGCGCCCTTCTTGCGTCGTCTCGAGATTTATCCGGCCCTCTGTCACTCTCCTGCTGGGCCCCGTGCACGCGGCGCCATCCCTATCCGCCACCCTCCGCGCCGCCCCGCCGCCCCCGTCGTCCCGTATCTCCGCCTCCCCGGGCATCACCTTTTCCGCCACCCCCTTGCCTCTCCCCCTCCCTCCTCCCCCTCTCCCCCACCGCACAGCACCGCTCCCGACACCACCAAGCCTATCAGTCCCTAGGTTCGGAGCCCCTTCTCCTGCAGGACCGGGAGCGAAAGGTCCAAAAGGTCCGCCACCAGCCGCACCCGCGCCCGTACCCGCGGCGGCGTCCGCCGCGGCGGCTTTCCCCGCGAGCGTGAGCCCCCCCAGCAGCATGGCTTCCGCGGAAGCCTCGCGCGTGGACTCGGCGGACGTGCCCTCGTTCTCGCGGTCCTCCTCCGCGCGCGGCGTCGCACCCTCCTCGCTCTCGTTGCCGATCTGCAGCGCCGCCTCCTCCGACGCCAGAGTGGGCGCCGTCGTCACGCGCGCGCCCGACACCAGGTGGTGCTCCACGGCTGTAGCCACCGCGGCTGTAGCGCCGGCTGTAGTCGCGGCTGTAGCGCCGGCTGTAGCGCCGGCTGCAGCAGCGGCCGTGGCAGCAGCAGCAACGCCGTCCGCTGCAGCGGCTGTAGCCGCCGCCAACGCCGCCGCCGCAGCAGCAGCGGCGGCGGAGCCGCGTCCGCCGTGAGTTGCTTGCCTCGCATGCTCCAATCGCCGCTCCCTTTCCTTCTCAAACTCCCTCTCCTCCTCCTCCTCCTCCTCCCCCCCCCTCATGCGCCAACTCGTCGCGCCCCCAATCTCCGCCACGCTCTTCCTCTCCGCGTGCCTCTCACCCCCCGCTCCCCCGCGCGCATCCTCCTCTTGCCGCTGCGCCGACCTGAGGGCAGCTATCAGCACGTGCGGGGATCCATCCGCGCCTTTTCCCCCTCCCCCTGCCACTCCCCCTCCCCCGCCTCCCCCATCATACACGAACTCGTCGGGCCTTTTGATAGTCGAGCCTTCCCCCGACGCTTGCATAGCCGTCGCGCCGCCCATCGCCATCATGCCAAACGCGAACGCCGCTCCCATAACCATGCCGCCGCCGCCGCCGCCGCCAATCGCGGCCCCGATAGTGCCGCCACCAGCAACTGCAACTCTTCCTCCCCCTCCCCTTTCGCACCCTCCCCCTTCCCCTCCTCCGCCACCACCCGCAGGGAGAACAGCAGCAGTCGCAACAGCAGCGGCTGCAGCGACGGCGGCGGCAGCGGCGGTGTTGGCAGGTAAGGGGCCGGATCCGGCGGCAGCGCCGGCGGTAGTGTGGGGCAGAGCGGAGTGCGAGCCAACCATGGTGCCGCCTGCTGCTGTTACCGTGAGAAACGCGCGCGCAAGCGAAGAGGAAAACACGCGAGATCAGAATGACGGCGCAAACGAGCGCGAGCAGAAGGAACGAGAGCGGGAAAAACAGAGGGGGGGCGAATCGGGTGGGGGGGAATGGGCGTGGGGGGGCGCGGTGGAAGGGGTGCGGGGAGAAGGGGAGGGAAGGGGGAAGGGGAGAGCAAGCATTGGTGGTAGAGGGCAGACCTGTCACATGGATACAAGGCAATGGCGGAGCGGAATCAAAAGAAAGAAACAGTGACAGCAAGTGAGAGAATGTGGGCAAGAGAGAGAAAGCGCTACCAGACGGTGGCATTACCTAGGTCGTTCCCTGTGCCGTCGCAGTTGCCCTCTCCCTCCGCCTGCCTCTCCCTCTCGCGCTCATTCTCCCTCTCCCTCTCCCTCTCCTGCTTCTCCCGCGCGTGTGCCTTAGTGGCATTGGCGTTGACCTGTTCCCCCCCCGCACCCCCACCCCCACCAATCAGGGTGCCCCAAGGGAGGGACACAGGCACACGCACAGCGCAGCAGAGCAGAGCAGATAGAGAGAATGCGGTGAGACGGCGATCGACCAACCAAGGCAGGAGGAGAAGGAGAAGGAGAAGGAGAGGGAGAAGGAGGCGGATCGGAGATGGCGAGGGGAAGGCGCTCCATGGCGCACTATTCACTCCCCAAGAAGTGTGAGAAGCGGCGCCACGGCGTGTGAAGGAGGGGGGCGCAGCAGCACTGCAGCAGCGGGAGGCTCGCGGAGAGGAGGCGGCGCATGAGCGCGGGGAGCGGAGAGGAGGGCGGTAGACGAACCACCGCGCTTCTGCCCACCGTCGCCCGAGCCTGAGCCCAAGTTCAAGGACGAATCCAAGCCTGAAGCCGAGCCTGAGGCCAAGCCTGATGCCGAGCCTGAAGCCCAGTCTGGATGCGGGCATGAGGGAGCGCCAGCTTCGGGGCTTCTCGGTCGTTTGCCAAGAGCGTCGGTGCGCAGAAACCTGCACCTTAGGCTGAATGTAGAGGCATCCGTTCGGCACTGAGAATGTCGGCCGATACTGCCGCGGACAGGCGAGCACGTACGACTGCCAGCATCCTTCTCAGAATCCCTCTCGCTATCCCTCCCAGCATCACTCGCAGCATCGTTCCCAGCAGCAGCACGGGGGCCGATACGAACCTGAGTGCCACTGCCGTTGTCGCTGCCGCCGTTCACGTTGAAGCTGCACCCCACTCCGTCGCCCTCGTACGCGCCCCGCTTCTCTCGAAGAACCTTGCCGTTCGTGCCGCTGCCGCTGCCACTGCCGCTGCCTGTCGACTGCCCACCCCGAAAATAAAAGAAACCAACAAAAAAAGCAGGGTTTAGTACCCCACTAAAGGGAAATGCAAGGCCAGAACATGGTTGAAAAACGTCGGTGAAATCCTAACGCAAGGCAAGGGAGCTAGGGCCAGGGCAGGGCAGCACAGCGGTGCGCAATGCAGCGAACAGCATGCGAGCGAGCAGGGCGGAGCAGCATAGCGCAGGCGAGCGCGGAGCAGAGGCGCAGAGCAGGAAAAGAGTCCCGGCGTACCGAGTGGCATCGGCGCCAGACGTGCTGCCAGAGGTTCTTGAGCTCGTTCTTACGCACGGGCTTCACCAGGAAGTCCGCCGCGCCCTTCTGGAAGCACTTTAGCACCATCTCCATGCTGTCGTGCGACGACATCACTGCGAGGGGGAGGGGGGGAGGGGAGGGGGGAGGGGGGAGGGGAGGGGGAAGGGGGGGGGAGGAAGATGTGGGGTTGCAGGAAACAGGAGTATGTGAATAAAACGACAGGACTGGAAGCAGGAGATGAGAGGAAGCACGCGTGAAACGACAAGCACATGGTGTCAAATGTCATGTCAAATGAAGTGTCATACGGCGGCGCATGCGCATGAATGGCGCCTGCGGCCGCTGCTGCGGAGCACATTGGTGCGAAACGGCGCCACGCGAAATTTTTGAAGCAGACAAAGGCGCCGAAGCCGCAATCCAATCTGGAGCCGTGAAAGACGGCGGGAGAGATGGCGCGAGGGGAAGGAACGGTACGCACTGATGACGGGCATGCCGCGAAGCGCCTCGCGCGTCATGATGCGCGTGAGCAGCCCGATGCCCGACAGCCCCGGCATCACCACATCCGTCAGGACCAGGTCGAACCGAGCTGCACCGCTCGCCGTCAGCAGCTCCCACGCGTGCACGCCGTTGGACGCGGGTGTGACTGTTGGGAACAGGAGAGGGCGCGGGGAGAAAGAAGAAAGCCGGGAGGAGGCGGGGGAGTTGAGGGGAAGGGAAGAACACTAGAGGGTCACTGAGTGGGAAATGTGGGGGAAGGGAAGGACAGGAATGGAGAAACCATGACGCCGGAAAGACGTCGCGAAGGGAGTGACTACGCCGAGGATAATTTGCCACTATTGTTAAAATCTGCTCGTGAAAAATCTAGAGCGAGAGTTCTGAGAGAAAAATGAAAATCGAGACGAGGAAGCGCACGGTGCAGCTAAGAAGAAAGCCGAAACGGGCTAACAAATGTAGTGACTCCAAATCCCCGACAACACTGGTTCGCACGGCCGCGCGAAGACAAAGCCTACGAGTTAGCGCCTCCTAAAACTATGACTATGTTAAGAAAACCACGGTAAAATATGCTGCGCTGTACGTTAATAAATTTCGACGATACGTTTCCGTGCTTTGCCGTTGAGAATTCTCTACACGGTCCCTTTTGCGATGGGTAAGACCTGCGGAGAAAACAGCGGCGAAACTAAGCGCGGTCGATAATCCAACTATAAGCTGCCGTTTTCGTTCTACAAGGATGCAACAAAGAAAAAAATTCTCGTTCTACAAATCTCGGCGGTCTGCATCGAACTAAGCTGCTGTTGACGTGGCTTGAAAAAAATAAAGCTTTAAGAAGAAAAAAGCAGCTCGGTCGACGATAAAGTATCGCTTCTAAACGCATCGTAAGAAAGGCCGGACGACTACCGAGCATACGCAAGTTCCAACTTGCACGCTCTAACCTTCCGGACCTTCCTACGAACAAATCTGGTGGGAGCTTCGCAAGAGCGACACACTACGGACCTTCGTAGGAACAATTTCTCAGCAGCGCGCCGACGACGTGGCGGGTGGAGTCGTCATCTTCGACCAGCAAAACCCTCAGACTACCCTGCGGTAGGAACGCCTCCCACCCGGGCCCTCCCGCTGAGATGCCTCCGCCGTCATTGTTAATCGGCCCGTCGTGCAGCTCGAAATCGTCGCCCGTCTCCTCCCCGTCTTCATCGTCTTCGTTTCGATTTCTATTGTCCTCCGCTGCAGGATCCTGAACCCCGCAGAACTCCGCCGTGACTCCCGGACAATCCATGTCCATATTCACAGCGTCGTCTAATTGTTGCGGCTGTAATGGCTGTGGCTGCTGCGGCTGCTGCTGCTGCTCGGCCAGTATCTCCTGCACATGTTCCTGGGGACTCTGGGGCTCATAATTTCGATCGTTCTCAAGAGTCGGTCCAGCGACGCCTAAGCCTTCGTTCGGTCCCCTCTTATTCTCAAGATCGATTTTCCTAAACTCTTGATGGATTCCATGGCTCCCGCAGTGCTCTAATCGATCTGACGGTTGACAAGGCCAGTCATCATTTCCGTCCGTTGGCTCTAAACGTTCTCCAAATTCGCCAGCCATACCAAAACATGAAGCTATTAGCAATGTAACCAAGGGATTCTTAAATTAGCGTAGTCTCCTAAAAAACGCGCATTAATACTGTAAGCACACAGAAACGACGAAAAATCCTGACGCGACAGGGCGTTGAGAGGATTCAGATTAGCTTTTCTTGCTAGGAGCTAGGCCAACCAAGGGATTACTGAAGAGCTGAACGCTAGGGCCACCGTGCTCGAGACCAGCTTCAGGAAATCTTTCGTGGAGCCACGAAACCCTCACCATCAGTTGCCGTGCTCCTATTGGCTGTACGCAAAACCAAACCCTAGCCGCAGGCCAAGCAGAACGAAGATGTGGATTGCAGATGCCTCCACATCTGGGCGGAAGGGTGTACGCAGAGAACAGCGTAGGCGGAACTTTCGCGAAGCTGATCCCGCGCAAATCATTTTTTGCACGGGCATGGACGACCGAAAACCGCCAACACAGCACTCTGTTCCGCCAACTGTGTTGTGTCGCCTCGGCGCAAGTCCGCTCGATTTGCTTGCTTTGGGAACTGCTGCTTTATCAGGGCATGGTCAGAATGACCGCTGAAACTGGAGATTCATGTAGCGATATGTTCAGACAATTCCCAGGAGCCGTTCGATAAGCTGAGGTGGACAAAAGCGAGCGAGCGGGTATCCGGCGTTGCTTCAACGCCTCTCGTTCCAGAATGTCATCCCGTGCCTGCGCGTGATAAAGCAATCTTTATCTCTTTCCCTAACCTCGTCTGGGGCAGGCACCATGACATTCTCTGCACACTGGACCCACTGCTTGATGATTATTCCCGTACACCCTCTCCTTGGGCAGCTGGCACCCACTTACCGAAATCACTACATAATTGATTAAAATTTTTGGTGTTTATGTGCGAATGTCATGCAGTAGGTTTGCGGGGAGTGGGATTATGGAAGGTCCATTTAAATGCCGGTTGTAGTAAAAAGAACCAGACTAGCAAGGGGGTGCTTTCAGTGTTGAGGCAGCAATAAACCCTGAAAGCACCTGAAAGCACCCCCTTGCTTTCAGGTGATGGTATCCACGTGACCATACTGCAGGGAATCCCATCGTTGCCCGTGAAGGTTCCCCAGCCTCAGAAAGCCACCATAGACGAGGTCACTGGAGATGGCAGCCAAGGGATGTGCCCAGATATTCCGAGTTGCCCGCTTCGCTGCCCTCACAAGTGGTTGGGATGCAACAACCATAACTCATGCACAGTACAGAAACCCGCCACGAGCCACCACTAGGGTGAAAGCAACGGCATGACGCAATCCCGTGATAGGCTGTGCTGGCAATAGATATTCGTCGAAGCAATACCAAAAAAATCCCAGACGTTCGGCCCGAACCAGAGTCCACAGCTTCAGCTCAGCATCTTTTGTGAGTGACTCACTAGTTCGCTCGGCAGTGTAACGTAACGTGGCGACAATTGTGGAACCACTCGTCAATCATCGGTAGCTTTCGCCCAGTAACCACATCCTTCCCGCTCCACCGCCGTGATTTATGGCGGTGATGCCGCAGCCGCGTTCTAAAGTTCCCCTGCCCTTATTTTCTTACCTATTGTGGATCATGTGCTTCTATCATCCCCGCAGTCTCAGTTCTGCACGCTACTATGGGCGGATTATTCAGCCGACCGTTCAGCACCCAGAAAACGACGACGCATTCCAGTCCAGTGGTGCTAATAACGGGATGCTCCCAAGGCGGCATCGGCTATGCTCTCGCGGAGTAAGCTCCTTACACGGCCAGGTAACGTTTAATTAAATCTCTCAAGGACGCGAGGTGATTTGACTGTGAGAAATTCCGACATCATCATATCATGCTCAACAAGGCAGGCAGCCTCGAGCTGTGCTGCTGAATCGGCATTGCGGTTCGTGTAGCATTAGCGGTGTGAGATCGATTCGACTTGATTTCTCAAAACATTGGTCTGTCCCTGTAGCTTCGTAGAAGATACCTCATTTCGTGGAGTTGGTCCTTTGCCTTAGAAAATTTTCCGGTTTCCGCCGCCATTCCGGAAGTCCTTGCCGCCATGCCGCCTCCGGTTTTTTCCGTCCTCGCTTCCCAGGCCTTTCTCTTGCTCGTTACGGATTGGAAGAACCTCTTCTCACGCTCTCCTTCCGAACATGCGAATTCGTCCCCCCGTGGCATCCCTTCGGGAGTCGCGAAGTTTCAGCATTTGCAAAGTTCTACGAATGCAGTTTTTGGTACTTTTCATCCTTCGTTCCGTTATGCGTGGCATTCGTCTCTGTCACTCCGACTCCAGGGAGATGGCGCGCAGAGGCGCGCGGGTGTATGCGAGTGCGGTGAAGGCGGCGGAAATGGAGGGACTAAGTGTCAGCGCTGGGATTCGAACCCTCGAGCTTGACGTCACAAGCGAAGAATCTATTCAGGTAGCTCAGAGAATGAACTCGTTCGACCTGGAGAATTTGAGTTGCGTGGTTGGAAATATTGGAATGATGCAGGTGATTGGTGATCAACATTCACACCTCCCCTGCTGATCCCTGATGTTCCCAGTAGCCATGCTTTTCACTCGACTCCAACTCATCGGCACGCCATTCCTAGGAGAAAGTGTATTGTCTTTCTCTTTTGAAAAGCTTATGAGAGGAGGGGGGGTGGACGTGCTGGTATGGTAACCACCGCAGGCACCGGCGTGCCGTGCTCCGTGGTAGATTTGAGTCAACTTTAGTTTCCTCCCACCCCTGTAGACCTTCTCTCCTGCCCCCTCTCGGGCGGCAGTGGCCCACCGGGTGGCAAGGGATGGGCGGGTGGACGTGCTGGTGAGCAACGTGCGCAGCAGCATGCCGTGTCCCATGGTCCAAGTTCCTTTTGTGTCACTAAAATCCCTTCCTCCCCACCCACCCTCTCCTTTCTCTGGCCTTCTCAGGCGGAAGTGGCGCGTGTGGTGGCAGAGGAGGGGCGGGTGGACATTCTAGTGAACAACGTGGGCATCGGCATGCCATGCCCCGTGGCTGATGTGCTTTTTAAGTCACCCAAATCCCTCCTCCCCACTCCCCCTTTTCCGTGCCCCTTGTCAGGCGGCAGTGGCCCACCTAGTGGCAGAGGAGGGGCGGGTAGATGTGCTGGTGAACAACGCGGGCATCGGCATGCCATGCCCTGTGGCTGATGTGCCCTTGGACCAGCTCCGCCAGGTGCTGGACGTCAATCTCTATGGTGCCGTTGCCATGGCCCGAGCCGTCTTCCCGGTCATGGCACAGCAGCAGTGAGTGGCTCTTCTTTTGCAATGGGCATTCGTGGCAGCAGCAGTGAATGCCCCGTGGCCGATGTGCCCTTGGACCAGCTCCGCCAGGTGCTCGACGTCAATATCTTTGGCGCCGTCGCCATGGCGCCAGATGTCTTCCCCGTGCTGTCATGGCGCAGCAGCAGTGAGTGGCTCTTACCCCGCCGCTTTGTGCTTCGCTGGTAACAGGTATGGCCCATGTACCCTTGGACCAGCTCCGTCAGGTGCTGGAATCTGGATGTCGATCTCTACGGCGTTGTCGCCGTGTCGCTGTTGCCGTGTCGCTGTCGCCGTGGCGCTGGCGCCGTGTCGCTGTCGCCATCTTCCGGTCGTGGCACAGCCGCAGTGAGGGGCTCTTGGTGGTTTTGAGGCCTCTTGAGGCAGCAGTGAGCTGTCTTCGTGGCTCTTATATGGTGCACGAGGTTGTCGGAACAAGAGCAGCAGCAATAGGAGATATTTTCAATTGTGAGTCGATACATTTGCCTGGACTTCCCTGTCTCTGCGAGCTTGCTGTGCTGTCACCAGGGATCGAGTTCCCTTTTCCCACATGGCGCACTGGCACTTCCTTTTCCGTGGGCATATGTAAAAGCTCTGTGACTGATTTGCCACCTACCTTAACATAAGATGCATCTTTTCGAATTCGTGTGCCTCGGCAAGCGGCACTAATACTAGCTTGTTGCTGACACGGAGAGTAGCAGTAACAGCAAGCACGTGAGGCAAACGTAGGAAACTAATGATCTGTGTGAGACCATCTAAAAAACAGATTCTTTACGTGCTCGTCGTGCTGCTTGCCTCCTCTTCCTCTGCCTGCTCGTCACAGGACTCGCTCTCGCATTTTGAACATGGCAAGTGTTGCGGCATATGTCAACAGGTAAGCTGCTCGCCTCCTAATCATCGTTTATGCTTATTGCTTTTCATCCCTTCCCTGCCTCTCTGACGTACGTTCCATAATCTGTGCACTCGTCTTTCTTTGCCCTCCTTGTGGGACAAGCTAACAACCAATCACTCTGATCAAGCCCTTTCTTATCTTTTTAACCTGCCTTCAAATCATATAATGAGTTGAACTAAATCGTCAAATTCCCCTTCATGGAGGCAGGCCATGGAGCTGTGCCTACTCTGCCAGCAAGGCGGCGCTCGCAGCGGCCACCAGCTGCATGCGCATGGAGATGCGGCCCTTCAGCATTGACGTGGTGCTCGTCACACCGGGCTACATCAAGTCCCGCATCTTCCGGTCAGTTGATTGCTATTTTCACTTTTGAGGCGCCTCAAAAGCCAGCTGCATGCGGATGGAGATGCGGCCCTTCGGCATTGTCGTGGTGCTTGTCACACCGGGCTACATCAAGTCGCGCATCTTCCGGTCAGTTGACTGTTTGACTGTTTGCTGCTAATCCACTATGAGCCTGGATTCTTGGGACATTGAAAGTGCATGGAGATGTTTGTTCTGGAGGTGATTCAGAAAACGCCCAAGTTTCTGTGTGCCTTTGTTGTGCCAGAAAACCTGGCTGTTGAAGAGGTGTCTGTTCTTTTATGCGCCTGTTTGTACCATCGCACATTGCGCACTCCTCCATCATTGCAAAATTTCCCCATTTTGCCATTTCCTCTCACATCCACGTTTGTGCCACGCTGCACGTTCCTGCCACACTCCACATGGAGCCACATTGCAGTGCAGCAAGTGTGAATACCCTCATGCCGGCACTCCACTCTACTGCTCGTCTTTCCCTGATTTCTGCAGTAACGCTCTAGCCAGCGCCCCCATCCTTCCCAGTTCAAGTCATTACAAGCCCTACGAGGCGTCCTACAGAGAGCAGTTCGCAGCTAGTGCGGACAATCCTTGGGCGACTAACACTGCTGATTTTGCTACACAACTTGCTGACGTGGCACTGGGCAAAAGCAGTCCTCCGTGGCGGGTTCTGTATGGCCACCAAGCACTATTTGCTGTATTCATGTCCTACCTTCCTGCAACAATTCTTGATTCATTGCTGTGGGTTGCATTTGCAAAAAGAAAGTAGCTTCTCAATTACTCTTTGTGGCGTGTGTGTGGTACATGATCAGCTCCAGAAACAAGTACTACTACAAACAAGTCATTCATGAATCATGACCCAGGGATGATAAGTTTTGCTTCCAGAATAAGGCCAACTAAACCTTGAAGCCCTTACCCTAGGGGCTTCTATCTCTGGGTGACCTGAATGTGATCAAACTTTTTGTTGGTGGATTCTTTACAACCCCTTCTTGTGTTGGAAACAATTAACTCTAAGCGCCTCTGTCGTGTCGAAACACCAAGTCAGAAACGAAGCGAAGCATATCGAAGCACTGGCAAGTCAACCCCCGGAAGTTGAGCAGTTGCTAAAGGTTACGCGAAAGTCAAAGGTCAGCGACCTTTGACCTGACAAGTACAGCGCGACAGCAAGTACACACAACTGACTCGTTACGGAGCAGTTGCCCGAGTCGTCACTGTATCGAACCGCAACAGCAACAATAAAACAGTTGGAACCGTATCTCTTCGTATTCCTTGTACTCTTATATAATCTTGTATCTCTTTGCTTTAATAAATCAACTTTGCCCTCACATACCAGCGTAAGGTGGTTAAAACACTTCTCATTAAAGCTTCCGCTAATTACAACAAGTCCTACTCAGAGTTCAGCCTTGCAAAGATCCTAAGGGGCTTTTCTCAGCCCAACATGGTATGAGAGCTAATAGGGGGAACTCAACCATTATCAAGTTATCTACAACGTCAGAAGACATGGCAACACAAAAGGAAAGGAACTCCTCTAACGGCTCCCCGGTTACTACTCCTACTCCTCCTCCTGCCTCTGGCCTACAGACAGAGGAGGGTACTGCAACAAGACCAAGAGCAACTTCTACCGAGATTCCCGCGAATCAATCTGCAGGCTTCGATCAGAACATGATGGAGAAGTTTTTCTCCTTCATGTCCTTCTACGAGCAACACCAACAGACGGCACCCGCGCAATCAAACAACAGTGACAACAACAACAACGTGACTCCAATGAGCCTTGATGGTTCATCCTACGCACGTGGAAATCAACAACAACCACCTACCTTTGCTCCGTACGAGCCCCAGCGCGGCTCCGTCAGCTTTATGCCACAATCACAGCCTGCACCTGGACAAGAGAAGACACTGGACGCACTTCAAGTTCAGTCGCAGTTCGCGCACGTCTTAAAACTGCAGACGTCAAGGCCCTTCGACGGGGAGGACTTCTTCACCTGGTCAGTCGCGTTTGAATTGATGATGGAAGGCGCACAGATTCTCGGCTTTTTCGACGGGTCCCTGCCATACCCAACGAATGGCACATAGTATGACAAACAGCAGTACACGTATCAGTCAATAATGGCGTACACGATTCTACTGAGGAACGTCACTCCAAATCAGCAACAGAATATACGGTCTTACCGGGGATACGGCAACTCCGCCGTGTCAAATTATCATGTTGTGTAGGCTGTAGTGGGGTAGTCAATATGGGGTACACAATGCTAGGATTGCATACTTGTATCACTTTCATTCCTTAGTGTTCCATTCTCGTTTCAGTTTCCTCATGGTATCGAGCAGGTTCCCTCGTGGGAACTGTGCCTAGGGCCCACCAAGTCGAAAGTTTTTTTTCCTGCCCGGAGCGCGCTCAGCCCGAGTCGCGCTCCCCTCTCTGACTTCGTCGAGCCGCCCTAGCGGCCAAGTCGCGCCGCCTTAGCGGCCCCTGGTTCGTCGCCCTAGCGACCCCGTCGCCCTACCTACGGCCCCGGCCCCGTCGCCCTACCTGCGCCTCGGCCCCGTCACCCTACCTGCGCCCCGGCCCCGTCGCCCTAACTGCGACTCTGGCCCCGTCGCAAAACCTACGGCCCCGGCCCTAGCCCCGTCGCCCTACCTGCGCCCCGGCCCCGTCGCCCCACCTCCGACCCCGGCCCCGTCGCCCTACCTGCGCCCTGGCCCCGGCCCCGTCGCCCTACCTGCGCCCCGGCCCCGTCGCCCTACCTGCGTACCGGCCCCGTCGCCCTACCTTCGACCCGGCTCCGTCGCCCTACCTACGGCCCCGCCCCGCCGCCCTACCTGCGGCCCAGCCGCCCTACCTGCGGCCCCGCCGCCCTACCTGCGGCCCAGCCGCCCTACCTGCGGCCCACCCGCCCTACCTGCGGCCCACCCGCCCTACCTGCGGCCCCGCCGCCCTCACCTGCGGTCCCCGCCGCCCTTACCTGCGGTCCCCGCCGCCCTTACTTGCGGTCCCCGCCGCCCTCACTTGCGGCCCCGCCGCCTTCCCTGCGGCCTCGTCATCTGCTGCAGCGCCGCCCGCAACCCGAGCCGCCCGAGCCGCCTCACCTAGCCGAGCAGCCGACCGCCGCGCCGCCGTACAGCAGCACAGTCGAGCCGCCCAGCAGCTGAGCAGCCGGACAGCCGAGCAGCCGAGCCGCCCTGCAGCCGAGCCGCCCAGCAGCCGAGCAGCCGAGCCGCCCAGCAGCCGAGCCGCCGTGCAGCCGAGCCACCAAGCCCCCGAGCCGCCCTACCTCCGAGCCGCCCGAGCAGCCCCGTCCGGTAAGCACAGCGCCTCTGTCACTGCACTGCCCTTTCCCTACTGTGTGCGCTGCTAGTCTACTGTTGTCATGGCTACCCCTAGTGTCCTCGCTTTTGACGCCGAGGGTCGAGCCATTGACTTTGACGTCTGGGTAGATGACCTGCATCTGTTCTTACAGTGCGATAGGGCAGACGGTCTCTCCCTCTTTGACCTCACCTCTGGTGCCTCTCCTGCTCCTGCTGCTGATGCTGATGCCACTGTTCGCTCACAGTGGGCCACGCGCGATGCTGCTGCACGTCTTGCAGTGCGTCGCCACCTCCCTACCTCTGAGCGTGCGCACTTTAGTCAGTACAAGAGTGCTCAGACCTTGTACGGCGCTGTAGTTGCACGCTACTCCTCCCCTGCCACTGCTGCACTGAGCCGTCTCATGCTACCGTACCTCTTCCCTGACCTTGCTGCCTTTCCCACAGTCGCTGACCTCATTACGCACCTCCGCACTAGTGACACTCGCTACCGCGCTGCGCTTCCTGCTGACTTCTGCGCCAAGACCCCCCCCCCCCCATGTACATCACTCTCTACTACATAGTCACTCGCCTCCCTGACTCCCTTCGCGTAGTCAGGGACCACTTCCTCTCAGTCTGTCCCACCACTCTCACTGTTGACCTCCTCGAGAAGTCCCTCCTAGCAGCCGAGAAGAGCATAGTCGCTGTAGGGGCCTCTCGTGGTGACCCGCGCACCCCCATCTTTGAGGGGTGTTCCCCCTCCCCCCTTCTGCCCTTTGTTGCCTCTACTGCTGCGCCCAACCTCCTTGGTCTTGAGTCGGTCGGTGCGGCGTCTGCCCCCAGCGGGAGACGCCGCTATGGCAAGGGCAAGGGGGGCAGGGGCACTGGAGGAGCGAGCGGGGGCGGTGGAGGTGGAGGTGGAGGCGGCGGGGGGAGTGGGGGTGGCGGTGGGAGTGGAGGTGGGGGTGGAGGTGTCGGTGGCGGCAGTGGAGGCGGAGGCGGCGGCGGCGGTGGCGGTGGGAGCGGAGGTGGCGGAGGTGGCGGCGGTGGAGGAGGCGGCGGAGGCGGCGGTAGTAGCGGAGGCGGCGGAGGCGGCGGGGGTGGCGGTGGAGCTGGTCGCGGGTCTACGCAGAGGAGTGGCTACGGTGGTGGTCCGCGCCAGCAGCAGCAGCGCGGTCGTGAGACCCTGTCCCCTCAGCAGCTCCGTGAGTGGCACACTGCACGCCAGCGGGGTGGGGGCTTTGGTCCGTGCACCTACGTCCTGCGCACCGGCGACCGTGCGGGTGAGCACTGTGGGGGTGCGCACCCCACCCAGCGCTGCTTTGGCCGCCTGACGGACGCGTGGCGTCACCAGTTCCCGGAGGCCACAGAGATCCCTTGCTGGGGCGAGCTGTCTAGGGCGGGAGTTGCCATCTATGATCTTGATTTTAATGCTATCCTTTCTGCCATGTATGCTGTGTCTATTAGTGATGAGGGTGACTGTTACCGGTGTTTCCCGCCCGACCCGAGCATTGAGACTGCTGCTCTAGGTACTGGTGAGGCTGCTGCTCTAGGTGCCAGTGAGGCTGCTGCTCTAGGTGCCAGTGCGTCTGCGTCCTCAGGTGCTGGTGAGTCTGCGCTCGCAGGTACCGCGTCGGCTTCGGCCACCCTCACCTTCACACTTGACTCTGGGGCTTCTCGCTCCTTTTGAGACCGCACCACACTCACGCCGCTTGGTCGGCCAGTTGCAGTCTCCCTGGCAGACCCCTCTGGGGTCCTGTCCTTTCTCACTTTTCCACTGTCCTCCCGTGTCCGGCGGCCCCCTCTGGCACCTTGTCTGGTCTTTACCTCCCCTCGTTCTCTACGAACTTGGTGAGTGGTGCTGACCTACAGGATGCCGGGCTTCACCAGTTTACTCCTGCGAGTCAGCGGGTGACCCACTGCTCGGACGCTCGCACAGGCCGGCACCTGGCCACGTTTACGCGTCGGCCGGGGTCGAGCCTGTACACCCTGACCACTGAGTCTCCTCCTGTCCCTGCGTCTGGTCAGGTAGCTGCGTCGGGTCAGGTGTTTGCTGCAGCGTCCAGGTCTGGTCCTGAGTCTGCCCCCTGCTCGTGTCGCCTCCTGTCTCACGAGACTCTCCTCTGGCACCACCGCCTTGGTCACCCCTCCCTGCCTTGTCTCCGAGGCATGGCCTCCCGTGTCCTTGTCTCTGGTCTTCCCCGGTCCCTCCCTCCCCTTCCTCCGGGGCCTGGCCCCACCTGCGTCCCCTGTGTCGAGGGGCGGCTGCGGGCTGCCCCTCACTCCTCTCAGTTTCCCCCGACAGAGGCCCCGCTGCAGACGCTTCACATGGACGTGTGGGGCCCAGCCCGCGTCCGTGGACAGGGTCACGAGCGCTAGTTCCTGCTGGTGGTTGACGACTACTCGCGTTACACCACATTCTTCCCCTTGCGCAGCAAGGGTGATGTCACTGAGGTGTTGATCGACTGGATCCGCGCAGCTCGTCTCCAA